GGCGGGGGCGGCGGTGCGTGGCGAGGCCTGGGCGCGGGTGCAGGGAAGGAGCAGCGGCCGACCCTGGGGGGGTTGCTCGGAGCGCGGGCCCGGGAAGGAGGGCGGAGGCCGGCTGGCCCGAGGGCCTGGGCCGCCTCCGTGGCGTCTGTAGGCCGGGGCGGAGACGTGACGTTTTTGAAGAGGCTGTGGCCCTTCCCTTGCGGGGTCGTTTTCTGGGTCTTGAGGCTCCTGCGGACTCGAGTTGCGCAGTCCCGGGCCTGGCCCGCCCTTGGGGGCGGGGACGGGGGCGGGGAGTGCGGCAGGGCCACCTGGGCACAGTCGCATCCGTTAGCCCACTTTGGGGCTTCCTTTCCGCTCAGGGGTCTGCAGCGTGCAGCCTGTGGGCACAGCCGGTCCCGGGGCGGGTGTTGTACAGGCCCGGAGCTAAGAGGATGGCTGGTACTTGGTTAGTTCCGAGGGTCCTGAAAAACAAGAATCATGTGACTGTCGAGGCAGAAATGAAAGCCTTGAGTCCCTGAAGTAGTAATTAGTAAAAGCTTAATTGCACAGACACCGGAAGATAGTCGTGAACCGGGAGCACTCAGACCAAACCATGGAATGAGGATGAGGGGTATATGGTCATAAAGCGGCTTATATAGTGAGAAGGCAGGGACTGTTTATTTTTCACAGTGATGGGTCATGATAGTTTTCTTAGACGGTGAGAAATTGGTTAGTGGTTACCACATACCGGCCTAGGGATTCAAACAGTATTAGCTTTTGCTTAGGATTTCCAGAAGCATAAATAAGAAATGACCGGGGTCAAGTTAGTCTTGCAAAATAAGCCAATTAAGCTATGCTTTTATGACTAAATTCGTTTTGTCTGATCGGGGAATTTTCAAGGCTGGTTTCCATTTGTTTTTGACTTTAGCAGGACAGAGACCTTATGTGGCCCCTTACAGAAAAGTTGGCTGACCCTTGCTGTAGGTCATGGTCAGGCTGTAAAGGCAGAGAAGATGGCCTTGGACAAAGCTCCTTTTCCACCTCCGGAGATCTAATCGACTCCCTTGTTGGTTGTTTTCCAAACCTGTGATTTTTTTTTTTTTTTTTTTTTTTTTAAACCCTGGGTGCACAGTAGGCCCGTTTGGGGAGCTTTTAAAAAAATGTTGATTCCAGAGCCCAACTCCAGATCAGTTATATCAAAATCTGTCAGGGTGCAGTCTGACCATTGCTGTTTTTAAAGTTTCCACAGTAGTACTAGTTTGCACCAAGAATTGAGAACTGTTGGCAGAGGGTAGTGGATAGGGTTTGGGAGTTGGAAGTCAGATGTGGAGAGTTTCACTTAACTCTGTTGTTGGGGCATTCATTTAACCAAATTCTCTGTAAAGTGGTTTTGAAATTGCTCTACCAATAGGCCCACTGCTGAAATGGTCAAAAAATAAACTATACAGAAGTACTCAGTAATACTGCAAAACATGGGGCGCCTGGGTGGCTCAGTCGGTTAAGCGGCTGCCTTCGGCTCAGGTCATGATCCCAGGGTCCTGGGATCGAGCCCTGCATCGCGCTCCCTGCTCAGCGGAGAGCCTGCTTCTCCCTCTCCCTCTGCCTGCCTCTCTGCCTACTTATACTCTATCTCTCTGTCAAATAAAATCTTAAAAAAAAATATTGCAAAACACATGTTTTACAAGGAAGGTGCTTGTGATAAGACTGTCCCCGAAATCTTAGTGAGGTTAGGAACTGATGGAAAATTGTTGTTGTACTTGCCTTGATAATCATAACAATATTTAATATACGAATGAGATTTAATCTTTAAAGTGGCTTACAGAAGTGTGAGAGGACATGAAAAGTAGTCTTTGAAATTTATGCGAGGGAGCTTAATTTTTTCCTTTAAGTGGTTTCCAAATTTTCTGGAAAAGGCTTTGTCATTTGACTAAATTTTGCTGTTTTCAGTTGCCAGACTTTGTTTTGCTCCTCTTCTTTCCTTATGTAATTTCGCCAGTACTAGAGAATCTAAGAAGCCTCTGAGGGATACCTTCCCTCTGGCCATGGAGAAATGGCTTGGGTGTTAACCTTCAGAAGCCAAGCTGTGAATCCATACATAATTGAGTTTTTCCACCTTCCCTGAGTTGCGGGTGTGGCTCCCTCTTTTAAGTTCCAAACTTCATTTTGGTGGTGCTGTTTGTACCTGATAAAAGATCCTTGTGTAGTTAAGCATTATAGCTCTACGGCTATGCAGGAATGTTAAATTGGAAATAAACTGTATTTGTTTGGCCTAGAGTGTTAAAATTTTGGATTAATTTCCAATTTTTAAAAATCAGAAATTTTCACCTGTGAGTCCAAATTACTAGCTTTTCTTGAAAAATTTGGAGATCTGCCCACACTGAGCCCTCATTAGCTCAGGGCAGCACCCTGCAGGACTGAGTTTATATTCCTTTTTGCTTCCCTGACCTGTTTCAGTCAAAATAACAGCCTGGCCCCTATAGGGTTGTACCCAGGCAGCTTACTGTTGAAATGCTCATATGTGCTCTGTGCATTACCCATTACCCATTAATGGAGGCTTGGAAGAACCTGCCCTTTTGTCTCTATGCTGTTGATAACACAGTGTGTTTTGGGGAGAAACATTCATGTTTTAGTTTTTCCAGAATTAAAGCTTAGAAGAATCCTAGTCTCTTCTCAAAAAGAAAAGCAAAGAAGGGGGCAGGAGTTGACATACTACTTCCTTTGAGCAGTGGTATTTATCCAGTGGAAAGTCAAATATCCAAGACTAACACCTCTTGTAACTGTTGGCCCTGGCAGTTAAAAAACCTAGCTAAAGGGCGCCTGGGTGGCTCAGTTGGTTAAGCGACTGCCTTCAGCTCAGGTCATGATCCTGGAGTCCCTGGATTGAGTCCCGCACCGGGCTCGCTGCCCAGCGGGGAGTCTGCTTCTCCCTCTGACCCTCCCCCCTCTCATGTGCTCTCTCTCATTCTCTCTCTCTCAAATAAATAAATGAAATCTTAAAAAAAAAAAAAAAACCTAGCTAAAAACAAAGACACCATCATGTGTATAACTGTGTGGTATGGATGCTGTGTGCATTTTGTTTTTGTTCCTAAGATCTCTTAGCTGTAAAAGTTAACTTCCTTTATTTCTGTATGCACCCTGCAGCACTATTACCTATTACCATTGCCTGCATGGCGATACCTGTGTGTTTTTCTGCTGTAGTGTTTTTATTGCCCTTTCTTTTTGGTCTCCAGTGGAAAGGTTATCTAGGTTTGAAGGCCGAAAATGACTTTGGAAAACAATACCGTTGCTTAGACCAGAATCAGTCACCCAGGGAAAGTGGGATAGAATATTTTCTGTCTATTAATAAAAAATATCTATGCTGGAGACTGATAAATACCCCCCCAGTGGGTGAGTGGAGAACAGGGATCCTACGACAACTAGTTGGACATTTCCAAGGTGTCTTTTTCTTTTCTTTTTTTGATGGCAAATCTGTATGTTTGCTCGGAAGAATGTCTGCATGAAGAAAACGAGGTGCTATGATGTGCTACCATTTGTGTTAAAAAGTTTGATATATACTCATATATTCAGCAGGTGCAAATATAATGTATTCAAAAGCATTTACAAAATAAAGAAGAACTTATTCTTGTTACATATCCATTGTAAGGGAGTCAAGCCTACAAAGTCTATAAATCCACCATTTTTGTGCTCACTCGCCCCTCTGCTGGGTGCGTTTTCTGTGCTATTGTGATACCTGCTGCATGGCTCCTGTGCTCTGTTAGAACAAGGTCACATCTCCCTTGTGTTGGTTCCCAGCCTAGAACAGTTAAATAGCTTGCTAGAAAGTGGTAGGCCTGGGATTTGGACACAGATCTTTCGACTCCCACGTCCATGTTCCTTCCATTTTCCTGTGGTTGGTAAAGGTAATTCAACTGTTTTCTTTGTTCAGAAGCGCTTGCTCTCTCAAACTTTTTGCACTTTTCTTTGACTAAAGGGAAATGGGCCTGTTGTGGTGTCAGGAACCATTACAGGATTGACTGAAGGCGAGCATGGATTCCACGTCCATCAATTTGGAGATAATACTCAAGGTGAGTATTGTGTTGGTCTAGTGACTTCTACTTGTTTCAGCTAGTAAGATAAATAGGACCGGGTAGAGCTACCCCTAAACATTAAAAACCCTCAACATGCAGGAAAAAAAATAAAGTCAGTAGGATTACTAAGGTTAACCTTAGGGAAATGAGCCAAAAAACTGGTTTGTGACTCTTAAGTGTGGAAAGGAGGGGAAGAAGTTGATGTTTTTTTGTGTGTGGGTTTTTTTTTTTTAAGATTTTATTTATTTGACAGAGAGACACGGCGAGAGAGGGAACACAAGCAGGGGGAGTGGGAGAAGGAGAAGCAGGCTTCCCGCTAAGCAGGGAGCCCAATGCAGGGCTCGATCCCAGGACTCCGGGATCATGACCTGAGCTGAAGGCAGATGCTTAATGACTGAGCCACCCCGGCGCCCCAAAGTTGATGTTTTTTAAACATGTTTATACCTTGATTATAAAAAGAGTTTCAAGTATTTTTTAAGAAAACAATAAAAAAACAAAAAATTAACCTACTTTCTTACCTTCCATAGTAATCTCAGGTGTTTGTGAGCTGGGGTTGAGGGTGGATGCATCAAGCACAGGGTCTGCATTTATTTGCATTACTCCGTAAGAATAGCTCCATCCCTCCAGCACAAGAGCCTTAGTGGGACAGAAGGTAAAATCTGAAAAAAAGAATGTAAACTATTGGTGCTTTTGATTGAGTTTCATTTTCTCAGTTTCGGATTAGAAGCAAGTTAACAAAAGCTTATGGGTTAAATGCATTTAGTCATCTTTTACTATATTCGAGTAACCTGAACTCAGTGTTTACTTTTTATGATGAGAACCTGATTCATTCGTCTTGCTGGATTTGTTTTTATGTTCTGTAATTTGGTTCCTATAAAAATTGTGATTTAATGACCAGCTTTGATCCATTTTGCCAATTGAAATTCCTCAGGTTGCTCTTTTTTTACTGCCTCTGTTTTGGGAGGCATTTGCCCTGTGTCTTTGATTTACTGTGCTACTTCCCTTAACCTGTGTGTCTTCTCCCTGGGGAAGCTGGGTTGAAGCTGTAAACAATGGAAACTCTCGGTCACCTGCTGAGTGAAGAAAACCTGTCACTAAAGAACCTCCTGCACTGTGGTGGTGGTTCTGTGAGAATGGCTTTCCCTGAAGCACAGGAGCGCCATTTTTCCAGAATATATTCTGATTGCCGCCCTTGGAATTCTGTGAGGCAACAGCCTTGGCTCATAGATAGAAGGTGCCATTTATATTCTGCTTGTACCGAGTAAAGGCCACCAACAGTAGTTGCTGGTAGTATGTTGCTGGGGAGGTAAGTTTCTTGTAGTTAAGGTTCGCTACCTTATAAACCAGGATCATAATCATGGGATTTTAATAATAGAAGAACCATGAAGATCAAGTCCTGGCCCTCTTATTTTACAGGGGAGTGAAGAAGCCAAAGCCCAGAGAAGGGTATTACCTTTACTGGTGTTACACACTAGTTAGAATTTGTTTCTACTGCTTGCCTATTTTGTTTATACTAAGTTGTTGCTTCCTGTTTTTATGAACCTAGAAGTCATGATGGTACGTCAGTATTTTCTGTATTTGAGGTTTTAGCAATGACCAGTTTATTTTTAGAATTTATTTTGAAATTCTGATTCATAATTTGGCTACCTTTGTTTTTGTTTTTGGCAAATAGGCTGTACCAGTGCAGGTCCTCACTTTAATCCTCTATCCAAAAAACACGGTGGGCCAAAAGATCAAGAGAGGTGAGTGACAGAGCGCTTTAATGCTTACTAAAATTATGGCGATGGCTTGTTGGGGTCAGTGTGGGTATACTGCTTGCAGATTGCATGCTGATGGAACTGTGAGTAGGCCTCCCCACCTCTGCTCTTGAATTTGTTGCCCCCCCAAGTAACCCCTTGGCCCCAGGTGCTAGAGCGGCTTACTCTCTGGGCTGAGGAATTGACAAATGGGGACAATTAAGACGATTTGGTTTTGTAGCATTTATTGAATATAGAACTAATACAAGTGCCAAAGGGAACTAATACAGGAAATGTCATGAATAACAAACAGTACTGTCAGCCACTAGCAACATAAACCATCATTGTGAAACACAGGAAGCCTTGTAGATAAAAATTTGATACTGAAAATTCAGTGAGTCCATTTGTGTGTTTCCTGAGAGTCTTTCAGGAAAATACGAAATTTAAGGACAGGGATTAACTTATTTTAATAACAGAGGCCTGGCACGTAGCATTCTTAGCCATGCCAAGTATTAACAGGTTTAACTCAGTAACTCCGAGTTTACCCTTTGGTACTTTACCTCTGACATTAGAGATGTGCCCCCATCCCACGATTCTTCCCAGAGCATTACTTTGTAGATTTTAAGTTTTGTTTGAAGAGAAATGTGTCTAGAATGTCAAGTCGTTTCTAGTTGTGTGTGTATGTTCCAAAATTCTGTCAATCTGGAAGAGTGGGTCCTGATACATTCCATATCCACCTCTTAGTGACCACCCTTATATATGTGACTCACCAACTAGCCTGATGTTAAATGGAAGTCAGTCCTAATTCCTGATGCTTTTTCAAAACTGTTAGGCATGTCGGAGACCTGGGCAATGTGACTGCTGGCAAGGATGGTGTGGCCACCGTGTCCTTGGAAGATTCTCTGATCGCACTCTCAGGAGACCATTCCATCATTGGCCGCACAATGGTGGTGAGTTTTCATATGCTAGGATACGTGTACCATTTCTTCTAATACACAGACATGTATCTTTTCACGAGTTCATGATTATTAATCCTGGTTTCTAAGGATCCACGTACATTGTACCTTTAGTTCAGATTAGGAAAAGCAATTACTTTATATGATGATTACAGTCAAGGTGAATTAATGATGTAGGTGGTTATGACACTCTTCTGTGGAACTGTGGTCGTTAAGTAGGTTACATTTGGTCATATTAGATGTGTACTGTGGAAACAGCAGTAGTCTTTGTCTAGTTTTAAAATGGCCAGATTTTCCTGCCACAATTGAGTGTCCCCCTTGTAGTTAAACAGAACATTTTGTTAAGTCTAAAATCTGAGACGGACCTCAGCGTTAGTATTTATTCATGTCTGCAGGTCACCATCACTTGTTTAACGTGTGGGAAGCGATTGCCCTGAGTTACCCACAGGAGCTGCATCTGGTTCTCGCAGACACCAAGTAGCGTAGGCTCTGTGTTGCCTGCCCCAGAGGACAGTTAACGTTCTGTAGTCCTTTCCTTCCAGGTGACCCTAGAGTTTTCTTCAGCTAAAGTTGCGAAGCAGAAAAATCATTGATCAATGTTTGAGGAGCCAAATCTAAAATACTATTTAAATAGTTGAAGATACTTCTTATTTACAGACTCATAGTTCATGAGGCACATTTTTGAGTTTCTTTAGAAATTCACTTTCATTCCCCCCGCCCCTTTTTTTTCCCCCAAAGTGTTTATTATAAAAGAAGGCTATTTACTCAGGCTACTAAAATTTCTCCCAGAGGATTCAAACTGGCCCATGGCAGCCTGTAACACTTGTCTTGGGTTTTTAGTATTTTGTTTAGATAGCAACACTTACCTAGTGTTTACAACGAACTTAGTCTGTATCATGAAGAAAAAGCTTTGAGTAGTAGTTTCTGTTGTTTAGCACTAGATCAAATATTAGCATATTTCCTTGCTAGGATTATCTTAACGTGATCTTTTCTAATATTAAGTGGTTCTTAAAAGTCTTTTGGGTATTGTTGGGAATAGGTGGTAATTATTTGACAGTGCTGTGTTAATGTTCTTAAAACTTTTTAAAGGTCCACGAGAAACGAGATGACTTGGGCAAAGGTGGCAATGAAGAAAGTACACAGACGGGAAACGCTGGGAGTCGTTTGGCTTGTGGTGTCATTGGGATCGCCAAGTAAATATTCCCTAGGATGTGATCTGAGTCCTAAGTAGCTACTGTGTTATCTTGCTAGTTGTAGAAATTTAACTTGATAAACATTAAACACTGTAACCTTAAAAGTGTAATTTGTGCGACTTTTTAATTGCTTTAAGTACCTGTAATGAGAATTGATTTATGATCACTTGGAAGATTTGTATAATTTTATAAAACTCCTATTCAGTTAAAATGTCTGTTTCAACGATCTCTGTATTTTGCCAGGCTTAATAATCATATATGGGTATTAAACTTAATTGTCTGAATTTCTTCAATTCTCATTCAAGCCCGCAATAAATACACCATATGGCACTGAATTTTGAACCTATTAAAGTATCCAAATTGAAACTCTAAATTAGCTCTTGATACTCATACATAGAGCTTGAATGGAACGGATTTAGTAATATGTTGACAGATACTACCTGTTTCATAGAGGTCGCTTTTCGGAGTGTTTTAAATAAGATAAGATGTTTAAATTTTTAGCAGCTGGTCTTTTAGCTAACACTGATAACCTCAACTGGAATCTTGGTTGGACAGATATCGTTTGTCAGTTTCAGGGAAATTAAGGTGGTTTCCCTGATTAGCTACTTAGCATTTTGATTAAAAAAGTACTTGTTTAAACAGAAGATGTTATGGTTTGAGAGAACGCTTTGATAAATTGTGAACAGCAAGTTATAGTCTCAGCTAAGAGTAAATTTACCTACCTGCCAAAATGGCACATATTCCACGTTTTATACACCTATGAACAGTTAGTTTGAAGTAGAGATTGGCACAATCTGCTTCCAAGTTAGCCATTGAAAGAAAGATACCATAGCATTTTAAGATGGGACCAAGGAAATGTTTGAATGTGGGTTATGTCTGTTTAAGAATTTACATATTCAGTTAGTAAATTTAAGTCGTTCTCTTATTGTAAATACTTAATTATGTACCTATAGATAAACTGCTTTTAAATGAAATGTTAACCTAATTCAGGTTTGACTCTGGATTACAGTTTTAACTGAAAATTGTAGAATATTTCTGAGAAATCAGAAATAAGCTACAATTCTGATTGATCATAAATAAATACTTTTATCAAATGTGTAGGATATTGGTTAGGAGAGGAAAAGCCAGCGTGGAAAAGGACAATTTGTAGTGTTCTCAAAGTTTTAAAATTGGTGAAAAAAGAACAACATGCTCAGAAGAAGTGGTTAAAATCATTGTCAGAAGTGAAAAACAGTAACAGATTTCACTAATGTACAGTTTTGGTGTACATATGTGGGATAAGACTCACATATAGGGCCTCACTTGTGAGCCTCAAATGTAATCACTACCACTTAGTACTTGGGGGGGGATTGTCATGTGCAAATAGGATGGTTCCAATACCTTACAATTGGATATACGGGTTTTAAGTCCTTGAAATCTGAACACTAATCAGATGTATATTTCTTTCCAGAAGCAGTTTCAGTTAGGACTTTTAAACCTCTCAGGTGGGCCAACATCAAACGAAGGACAAGTTTTATAATTCAAGTGCAGATATCAACTTGGATTTTCTCTCCTTTTCTAAAGTCAGGAACACAAGAACATTGTCCTAGATACATTCTCCCCATCAAAACAAAGGTCTTGCTGCAGAGTACTATTTAAAAACCAAAGTAATAAAGTAGCTTCACCTGGGGATGAGGGCAAAGAAAAAGTTACCTGCTCAGCATGCTAAAACTAGGACAGTTTAAAAAGGTAATTTAAGAAAAAAAAAGCTTCAACAAGGCCATAAATACTTGGACTGTGTAACGACAGGTCTTTTCCTTGGCACTGGGGAAAGCAGTTTTATGGAACTGCTTTTCTGTACTATTTTAGATACAGGTTTGATTTGGCTTTGGACGTCTTCAAGTAATAGTTCTTGGATAACCTACATCTATTTTTCCTAGTTAACCCGACAATTTAAACAAAGAAAATACTTTATATGCTCTTATATGTGACAAAAAGTTCAGTCTACCTCTGCCCAGCAGGGGAGTTTAAAAAATGTTAAAGAAAGGCAACAGTCAAGGCTTGTAAGGAAACAATAGGTTGCATTTAAGTCCTTAAACATATAAAATAAGACAAAAAGCTTTTAGGTTGCAAATGTTAACCTTGATTTCTTTCACCCTTCTGAAAAATTTAATGGGATGTTAAGAAAACACTCAAACTTATTTCTAGTAAGTAATACCCACGCAATCAGATAATTCTGTAGTACAGTCGGGTACTTTGGGATCCAGTTTTTCCCCAGCAAAATTTCTCTTTACAAATTAATTAGGGCAACATTTACCACAAATCCAATGGCAAAAAAGAAAACCGTGATTGAACTGCAAACTAACAAGCTTTTCGATTAACATTAAAACAACTAACCTTTACACCTTGTGATTGAAATGCTGAAATTCAAAAGTATTACAAATGAAAGTGTTTGAGAATAACTACATAAAGATGTCTATTTCCATCAAATAAACAAGTCTAATTTAGACTCCAATACAGTATTAACAGCTCAAACTTTGATGGTGAACAATCCTTTTCCACCTTAATGCAGTGTAGGAAGAATAGCACACATTAAAGTTTGTTATGAAAATAGAGTTTATTAAAAACATCCCTATTGTTTTGAGGAGCTTTCACCGTTACCTTGTCTTAAATTAAAAAAAAAAAAAATAGAGAGCACTTCTAATTACGATTTGTAAACTTTTTAAAGTCAAAACTTTTAAAAAGTTACAGCAAAAAGGGTAATATTTATTCATATTTTCAGTATTTTTTGTTATTTTGTGGCTATTTTTAAATAGAAGGGAAGCAATCAAATTGCTTACAAGACCCCACCAACTACTGCGGGGCTGTGATATAGCAGGAGCAAATATAATACAGCATCTGTACACCTCAAGCTCTACACTCCAGAAGTGTCACTGTCACATTTTGACAAATTCCAGTCTCTAACGAGGAGCCTCTGCTGCTGAGCCAGAATCCTTTTCGGGTTCAACGGATGAGGTAGCCTCAGCAGGTAGCTCTTCAGAAGATTTTACAACTGCAGACTCAGACTCCCCCTTATCAAGTTCTGAAACAGTGTCTACATTTCCCACTTGGCTAATGGGAGGTTCAGCGGTTTTGTTACCACCTGCCCTGTCTGTGACCTCAGGCTTCTCCTTTCCTCGGTTTTCTTCCTTCTCTCTACGAGACTCTCTATCTCTCGAATCTCTCTCTCTGTCTCGATGCCCACTAGAGCGTCTATTCCTCTCTTCCAAGTCTCTGTGCCTGTCCCGGTCAGGGCTCCTTCTTCCCCACTCTCTCCTCTCACGATTACTATTCTCTCTATCATCGTTACGGCTCCCATACCGTTCCCGGTCATTTTCCACCCTATTTCCAAAAGATCTTCTTCCAAACCTCTCTTGGTCTCTACCTGAATTGAACTGCTGCCTGTTATCATTTCTAAACGGCTGTGGCGGTGGCTGCGCAGACGGCGGCGGCTGG